CAAAATGACTGAAAAACGGCAAACTTCGCAAGGCTATATTATCCGTATTTTACAACATTTCGCAACGAAACTTCGGAATATTACTAATTTTGTGATGCTCTTTCAAGCTGTGATGAAATTTTTGTCCAGGCATATCTACTGTAGATCAAAATTTCACTCATACAGTAAGGGGAAAGGTCTATTTAAGTGCACAAAATATTTTCACAACAACTTAGCACTTGTCTTAGAGCATGCACAGTGTTTCAATTCCATTTCAGAACCATCCTCAGAGACATGAAAAACTAGTTTCATATAATTTGCAGGCCTGCAAATAATTAGTTTACTTGGAAGGACAAATGTTTGGCCAAGCCAAAAATTGGTCGGACATTTATCCATTTTTCCTGGATAATGGCAAAGTAAAATTTTTTATATTTTGTTTTCAAAATTAACACGATGGTATTTTTTGCCTGGTCATGTTAGTCTGCACTGCAATGCATCTAAAACTTAGTATATATCTACCAGTCCCATAATGCATCATTAAATTATGGTTCAGGTTATACATAACTTTAATTTCCACCATGTATATGAAGGTCATTTGACTTTGAGACTTCAGAGTTTGGATTGGAAATTCAAAATTTTTTATAGCATCCCATGGGGATACTAAACTGTCCTATAATTTCCAATATCCAAAATTGAAATCTGGTATCTAGTGGGTGTCGGGTTACTGCAAATCTTGAGCCCTGGTAAATGGTTTGTTTCAGCCCGGATGGTCAACCATTGTCAAAAAGTGCATTGAAGAAACTGGAAAAAGAAAAGGAGAAGGCAAAAAAGAAAGCTGAAAAACAAGCCCAACTGGTGAGAAAACCCAAAAAATCAGGGGTCGGTTATACGAAGGCTGGATAGTGCTATCCACTCGATAGTGATTTTTTCAACCATTGTAAAAATACTCGAAAGGCGATAAAAATACAGATATGGATTCCACAATGAATAAAAGACAACTTAAATTTTTGTATATTAAGGTTTAATCTGGATTGTACCAGTCAACAGCCAATTTAAATTAAGAAAGCTTGAAAAAGTCGCTATCCTGTGGATATCCAGCTTTCATACAACCAACCGCTGATGGTCGGCATCGAATCACACATCTAATCACAGTATCACACTTCGACAATCAAATCACACTTCGTTCTTTTATCTAATTTAGTTACACGTAAGTTTGACAAAAAGAAGGGGAAATGATTATTTAAAGACAATAGTTATTGTTCACCAGACCTTTTCATTATTGCAGATTCTTTGCATGGTTAAAGTTGAAAAAATAAAAACCTGTATTTGCACTCACAATATACTGTAAATATGACCAAACTCCAAACATTTAGAGCACAACTGTGCAAGTCCAGTCTAGTCCAGTTTCTTCTCTGCCACCTTGGTTACAATGGTGGCAGAGCAGCGGGCTATGTCCCTCCAGAAGTAAATATGGGGGTTAATTGACCCCCCCCCCCATTCCTTTAAGTGAATTTAGTTGTATATGTCTTTGTTATGAGTATCAGCTTTTTCGATTGCCAGGTATAGTTTGACTACACTATTTGGCCAGCGATTTTAGCCCCCACCAAGTCATATACAAACTGACCAAAACTAGCTAGTCTCAATTTTTGAACTTTTTCCATGGGAGCATGCCCTCATGGAAAAAACCTGAAAACTGATACCGGAAAAAATACCGATATATCAATATTTTTTCTCGATTCTATTTTGCCTTAATTTTACGCAGAATTTGCTTAATTTTATGCAAAATTTTCTGTTTTCAAATGAAGCTAAAAAGGCGCGATATAACAAGAGAAAGGTTCGCTTTGGGTATTGAAAATGCATATTTGCATTGATTATCCGCACTCGATCATGTGTTATAGTTTTGGCCGGGAAATTTGTTTCAAAACATGTCATTCAACTGCGAATTTGAAACAAAGATTGTCCTATCTCACCAGATAAATAATGTCCAATGAGGTTAGTTTTTGTTTTTTTTAAAACGTTTGTAATCCAGCGTTGTTCACGTTCACTTTTTGACAAGCGAAATGACATATTACACCTTGCAACGCCAGTGATGACAAACGCGTTTTAGCTCTCGCTCTAACCCTAATTACGGATTTTCCCTCAGAGTTAGCACATTGATCGTCTTTGTCCTTCTGAAATAACGCCAATCAGCGCTTGAAAAAGCGTGATATGACGTTTAAATATACAAACGTAAATGTGATATCGATAATACCGAAAAATATTGATATTCCGATATATCGAAAATTTCAATATCGAAAATTTCAATATCGCATAATCGGTATTTATAAAAAATGATAATTATCGGCATATCGATATACCACAACAGCCTAGCTCCCGGAACCACTATTTTCACCTTCTTAAATTTAAATATCTTCCTATGCTACTCCTGTGACACTTGGATCATGTCTTGCATGTTGTACTCGTGTTTGCACTTACAGCTGAAACCCATGGTACACAGCCCCCCCCCAATATATACTGTAAGTGCCCTGCCCCAAACTAAAACCTGTTCCACCGCCACTCCTCTGTTGATCTTCAGAAAAGGTAGTGCTCCCAGCTCTACTGCATTACTATTAATCTTTTGAGTGAATATTACTCACTTCTGCCAATTTGTGAATTACATGTAACCTGTTTTGTTTCTCTTGATTTTTAGGCTGAACAGGCTGAAGCAAATGAGGGTGAGGTAATGAGAATCCTTTTTTTGTATCTATGTTCAGATGTTCTTATTGGACCAAGCATCACATGTAAACTCATGCAAACATTTTGCTCACACTTTCTTGCAGTCTTGACATGATAGTGATAGGTCGGCATGGCACTGCTGATTGCCAACCTAAATGCTAAGATGTAACAGTTATATTTAGTCTAATAGTACAGTATGTGTAACAAAAATATATAAGGTACTGTACCAAGTACAGCCAGGGCCGTCGCTATAGGGGGGTGACCCCCTCCTGAAAACATCTTGTTGGCAAAATAACAAATTTGTTGGCAAATTGTTTACGTAGTTGGCGAAAATATTTGAGTGGCTCGGATTGTTATAGCAAAAAGTTTGATAAATTTACGAAAATATTGCCGAAAAATATAACAAATTACGGTACATTAATTTGAAAGTTAGTGAAAAATGGTATGTCTGGAAAGTTTTTAAGCCCGCCAACAATTTAAGGAAAATAAATATTAATTCATTTAGCGAATGAAATGTTCTTGGCAATTGTGATACTACACCCCCCTGCTTTAACCTCTTTGCTACGGGCCTACGGCCCTGAGTACAGCACTGTCTGGGGCCAGTTGCTTAACCTAGGTTAACCCAAAACTCGACGCAAACTTCCCTACAGCTTGTTTATAAATTTGGAAATAGTTCTTCAGAAATATTGTCTGGATCAATAGTAGGTTTCTTCTCTGAAGTTTTGAATTAAGCAGACGTGCAGAAATATATAAACTAAAACAGCAAGTTAAGTTTTAACCGAAGGTTAGTGCTAACCCAGCTTTGAAAAACCAGGCCCTGAATTTTATCATTATATTACAAATAATATGTGTCTCATATGCCATATTGCACTAAGATAAAACATGAGATAAAGACACACTTTTTACATACTTTTGAAGGAAAAAGCAGTTCATTAACATACATGTACAGTAAGTATATTTCTCCAATATTTCAGGATGTCTCCAAGGATTGCTATGGGAATTTACCTCTGAATCAATCTCAAGAAAAAACAGGTGAGTGTGAGCATTGCAGCAGCATGGTAGTAGCTTTTACAATACATACTGTATAGAACACCGTCCTTATAAATATAACCACTATATTGGTTGGAGCAACTGGAGCCCAATTTGGCATGAAGGCCGGGAGCTGAACCGAAAAAGACTAATTAAAGGAACATGCTAAAGGACTAATTAAAGGAACAATGAATGAACTGGAATATGCAGTATTAGAGAAATTTGTTTTCGACTGAAAAAGAGCAAGAGAACTTTTTCATCAGGTTCTAAAGATTTTCTGAAAGTGCAAAAAAAAAATAGTATTGTGCAAGAAAATGAGCCAAAGGTTACTGTCTGTAAATTTATTGTTTTAAGTTCTTTGACCATACAAGGATATTTTTCGTAGGTTCATATGACCCACAATGGCCACATTTTTCTCAACGTTTTTTGCGTGGAGTAAATACATTTTTGCGTAAATACATTTGGCATAAATAGTGATTACAGTCTATCATTCTATGATGAACTTGGATGATTTAGGGCACTAAGACCTTTATACTCCTGAGAATTTGCTCAATCTTTGCTCAAGCGATCGATACATCGCCGTTAAACAACTTAAAGGACTTATAGGTCAAGTCTACCTGTTTTCTGTATTTAACTTTGTTTCACTTATCTCCAATGAGTGATTGGACATTTTCCCGTGGTGTTGGCATGAGATGCGTGCGGAGATGCGCGCTCGCGATTATCCGCCTCAAATGACCAGGCCTGTAACGTGTACACATGCATGTGCTGTGTGCAGGGTCGGATCTGGCCTGATTTGCTAGAGGGGGTGGGGGTTTTCCAGAGGGGGGTGGGGGTGGGGGGGGGTGGTGGGTGCAGTTACGAGTGTTCGGGGGGCAGGAAATTTTTTAAATTTGAAGCACTAAAATGCCATTTCCTATATTCTAAGCACTACGTTAGTTCGTTAAATTTCAAATTTGAGTTCACAGTACTTGTATTTCGAGCAAAAATTAAGAAAAGTGCAACGTTATATGGTTACCCGCTGTATATTGATGCTTGAATATTTTCTCGCATATTCGAAATTCTATCGTTTCAATATAATAAGTAGAGTATTCAGAAGTCAAATATGGAATGATCCTTATAGGAAGGATATACTATTAGTCTTATTCTGTGAATTTTTCTAGCTCGAGTTTGGACGAAAGTCAAAGATCTTCTTCCAGAGAAAGCTGGTGAAAAAGTTTTAGTTCGTGGCCGTTTGCATACTTCCAGGGGGACTGGTAAGATATTTATGCTCTTTATGGTTAAAACACAAAACAGTGAATTCTCTTTACACGTACAGCAGTCTACACTTGTCAGAGCTTTTTTTGGTATATTTAACATAAAAAAATTGTGAGAATCGCGGTATTTTCATAAGCTCTCTATAAACACTGTAAGTCTAGTGCTCTTGGCGCAACTGTTAGAATACGTTTTTAAAATAAAAAATAAGTAAAATCGACCGCACTATGTTCGTTGCTAGACATACAGTAAGTACAAGGGTAAATGCAATGGATTGTTTGTTTGATGACAGGCAAATTGGCGTATTCAATTGCTAATCAAAGGGTGTTCTTCAAAAAGTTAGCATATACAGTAAAGAAGCATTCCTAACAGCTATTTCAATTGGGTTGTTACAGGCAATAGTCAAATGTACTATCCAAGAGCCAACGGTATAATGGGAATAAATTATAGGGTGAAACTCGTGTATTATAAATCATGTATACCCCTGGGAATTGCCAAAACAAAAAGGTCATAGGCTACCTAAGCAGCTAAATATATTAAAACTTGATATACCCATCTTGCTGTTTGCGCTAGGAATGTAGAATTGACTATGACAATCCTTTCAAGATTTAGCTGTATATAGATGTACATGATGTATATGTACTATTTAAAGCACGAGTAGGAGTGTTTTATCACATATAAAACACGACGCGTAGCGGAGTGTTTTATATGTGATAAAACACGACTACGAGTGCTTTAAATAGCTTAAAAAACGACCCATCTTCTGATGAGTACATTAGCGAAGTAATTTTTAAAATAAACTTTGTCTAAACCGAGAAAATCAAAGCTAAAGTTGATGTAAATTAACATGATTTTTTATCACATATAAAACCACGACACGCTTATGATTTTTCTTTGTGTTTTGCTCCTGAATTATTAATGAGTTTTTTAAATTTATATACAACATTTTTGCAAATCCAAGTAATGCTGTACTTAACAGTATGTAACTGTGAAATTTATAAGTTAGCTTAGTGGTACAAGTATATGAGTAATTTTTGTCTCTCAATAACACTGTAACGTTTCCTTATTACAGGAAAACAATGTTTTGTGATTCTGAGGGAGAGGCAGTTCACTGTTCAAGCTATCTGTGCAGTCAGTGAGACTATCAGCAGACAGATGGTAAAATTTACAGCAAAGTAAGTAACCTTGAATCGTAAATTTTGATACACGATCATTTTCCTTTTCAATAATGCTTAAAGCTTTCCTTTGGTATTACTTCTGGAAGGAGTATACTGCATATGTTCATCCCGTGATCTATACAAATAAAACAATTCTATTGGATAATTTTGTTACACGCTGAATTGTGATTGGCGAAAACCATGAGGCCATGGTTGTTAGCCGCGAATGATCAAATTTTTCAAAACTTTAAGAAATAGTACAATATTATATTAATTCCAAACAACATGGCATTCTACGTACGTAGTAAACCGGCTTTTTTTGTTTTTGCTTTTCATCATCGTCAACCGCTTGCACTAAACCTCTTTCAATATCGTCATTTACCCATTCATGAAATAATTGCGTAAACTTTTGAAGTAATTTTGTACAAACAATTCTCTGACTTTATGGCGTGCCTGCGAACGCAACAATTATTTGAAAATGTGCCTGCAAAATGTCTTCATGCAACATGCGATATCACGACGTGATGAGCCATCAGCCATTAATTGCTATACTGTAGACGCCGATTTAATAGTAGGCTGGCTTGTGCATGAGTTATGGCTTATATATATTTTTGGTCCGAGAAATCGAGAATTTTAGGCTCAGACTCACAATCATGCATTTGCACCGTGCACTGGTATAGTTGTTCTCTAGAAATTTTAACTCGTCAGTGTCGCTATTAACAAAGATTTTGATACATTAATAGTAACAGATAGTAAAATACATATTAATAAAATAACAATTATAAAATTTATTTTATAACTTCTGGTTTCAAAAGTTTTACAAAATATGCCTGCAAGAAAGTTGTTTCTGAAATGCGCCTGCGACCGTCGGTCCCAGCGGTCCCCACTTTAATGATCCCCTGCCTTACAGAGTGATTACAAAAGTATAAACAAATCATCTATATTCATTGTTATAACTGTATGGTTTCGTAAATGTGTAATAAGATGGCTCGAAATCCTATATCTTAATCACGAAAGGCAAGATTGCATGCAGGCAAGATTGCATGAGCACTTTCCGAAAGGGTGCATGTATTCTGAATATAAACCACATCAATGCATTTTGTTCTGTTTAGTATAAGTAAAGAATCTATTGTGGATATAGAAGGAACTATTCAAAAAGCTGAGCAGAAAATCCAGTCTTGTTCTCAATCGGATGTAGAAATTGTTGTTACTAAGGTATGGTAGAGCCGATTGAGCCGAATTAGCCTTTCTTACGCCGCCATTTTTGGGTGGCTTTTATTCAGCCGAAGTCTGCAGGATAAGTCCACATAACAGCGACTTTTTATAATTTTTTGGACGAATGATGGTAAATTTGCTTTGTAAATGGTTAGTTTATTTTGAAAAATTGCTTTTCACAGTACATTGTGTTATTGTCTGCATTGGTTAACGAGAATTAGATGCCACCCAAAAATGGCGGATATTCGTCATCGTGAGAAAGGTTAATTACATTACTTTGTGTTTGTATACAGTACATCATTACGTTAACAAACCATACATTGTCTGTTCGCAGGCTCTCTAATACCCAAAACAACATGGCGTTCCAAACGTTTTTGATATGCCCTCTAATTATATAGCCCAATATCCTGTAAACCTTGCATGGAAGCTTTTTGCATTTTATTGACCTTGAAAGTTATGTTATAACTTTTGAACCAAGCTGGTAAAATATTAAAACATAACACATTTAATTAACGTCTCTATTTAACCCTTGGGGGTTTCCAGTGGTTCTTGACTTGGGGATTGTTAGAATGGGAGGGGGGAGGGGCTAAATAGAGGCAGAGGCTAAATAATATTTCACATTCTTTATACTCAGAACTAGTGGTCTGGTAGTGCCGGTAGTACCTCCAAATGAAATAAGACCTCGAACACATAAATATGAAACTGTCAACTATCCCCCCCCCCCCCAGAAAATCTGTGCCTGCTATAAAGCCTGGTTGACACTAGCAATTTTGTCTCTGCGTCACTGTATTTTTATATGAAACGTAAACGAATGTAATTATTGCGGTGATTGCGACTTGATGTGTGCGCATGCCCCATTTTACGACAACCTGCCGGATAAAACGTGTCAAAACCGAAGATTAGGCCCCATATATTTAATGTAATGACCCAGCCTTTAATATAACAATCCAGTTCCGCAACAATCCATTCCTTGACTGTCGGGTATTGCCACGTAACCGAAGTGAATGCCTGAACAGCCATCTTGTTATAAGTAGAGTTTTTCAAAACGAAATGCCGCGGTTAAGTTTGCATAAAATATGTATAACGATATTGTAAAAGAGCGGTACTTTTGACGCGCAAAGATATTCTTTTCCTTAATTGATAATATTTATTGGTTTTTTCTATACAATATTTACTTACTGTTTATGTTTATTTAACAAAATTAATTTATCAACTGCTGCTTATCCCCACGATTTTCTAAACGTTCGAAAACAGTTACTAAGCAATCTTATAACAATTTTGGTATATCTGCATGTTCATCTATCTATCGAATCGCCGATTTTTTGAAGAATTTCGTGCAATTTTGTTTATAGATGTGTCAAATTTGTGTTGTTAATTATTCATTGTTTACAGTAGCTTAAATTGGATGAGCTGAATCAAAGCCGAACTGATTATCAATAAGGGAGTAATAGAACTCTCCACTGAAAAAGCATTAAATGTCTTGTTCTGTTACTATACTGTAAATAGTATAATTTGTAATATTAATACTATAAGAAGCATGTTATACAAGTTTTTCCGAAATTGTCAAGAATACTTTTACGACACTGGTGCAGTGTAAAAGTTTCTTAATAGTTAAAGACGCGCACGCAGGTATCGAAGCAGCTGGTTAAACTATTATAATTATTGTGCCTCAATAAAATGACCTGCATGACAAATGACGAGTGGGGATCAATGTCTCTCAACTTATTATGTATAACAGCAATTACAATTGAGGTTAATCTCGCCTGACGCGAATATCTTTCATCGAACACTACTAACATATTGTTTGGAGTCGAAGGTTTGTTGCGTGTAGGGAACGTATAATTCAACGATTTGTCGACCGCAACGAATTATACTGTATCTTTAATTATTACCTGGGCGATGTTATACTCCGTGGATGCAAATTCGAGAGAGTTTTTGAATTGATGAAAAATAGATGACTTTAACTCTCTTTCTCGAAGAAACTACCTGTAAACTTAATAAGACTTGAAATATCGCGAAAAAGGAATTCAAGAAGAAAACTGTGGCAACGGTGTCAATTAAATTAGACCGCGTCGCGAATGAAATCTAAGGACGCTCTCAGTAAGGTTATAAGTAATATACACAATTTAATACTGAAAAGATAATTTGAATTTGTAAAGTGGTTTTTCAGCAGACATATTAGACTAGTGGAAAAGAGAAGATGTTTGCTTGACATAATTTTAGAAATTGAAAGACGACGAAGATCCAGCCTCTCTGTGTACCAGAAAATTTTGTATTCGTATAAAGGTTGAATAATCTGACTGGAATTCTAATGTGATAGTCAACCTAAGCCAAATTACAGGCAAATTATCTTGCAAGTATTCGAAAACAGCATATACTCTATAAAAAAGTAACTTTCTCTCACACGAACACCTATCAAACGGATCAATAAAGAGGGGCACAGGTCTTATCTTTCTTCAACTCTATTTGTAAAATTATATATACCTGAAGTACCTTCTTATTAACAACGTTAAAATTTCATGGCTGACAATAATACGGTTGAAGGTGAGTTAAGACGATGCAACGTTTTCTTCGTAACATATTACTGGACACTACCTGCGATTGGTCTTCATCTCTATACTAACCTTGCACTTATTGTAATAAGTATATCAACGGCTCTATTTGGAATTGTTACAAATGTTCTTGTTGTCGTGTCGTACTTCAAGAATTCTCGTTTACGTACGTTGTCCAATGTACCTCTACTTTCACTGGCGTTCAGTGATTTAGTGGTTACTGCAGTAGTTCTGCCCCTACATGTCACCAGATTGATCAAGGAGATATACGGTGCGCACGATTGTATTCTATGGACTTTAAAAAGACTGACAACGTATTTTTCAATTGGTATTTCATTGCTATCTGTAACAGTTATAAGTATTGAACGCTTCATAACTTTGGCATATCCTTATCACTACCAAACGATTTTGACAAAAATTCGAATGAAGATAATTGTTGCAGCTATATGGTTTTTTACATTTATTTTTGTAATTTCCAATATTGGCTTGATACCATACAAAATGCTTCGGGCGATGGCCACTTTAACTGTTATTCTATGTACATCTACTTTGCTCCTAGTTTGGACTTGGGTGTACAAACTACTTAGAAATCACGAAAGAAGAATTGCTATGGACCATAGGCCTTCGATTACATCAAAAAGTGAAACCCGGCAGCAAACCAACAGAAACACGCGAACAAGTGGTATCATAGCTGCAGGTCTTGTTGTGTCCTACCTACCCCTCGTTCTCATGCTTGCTTACTACTGGACAGAACCGGCAAGCTTCACAGGGATTTATCTTGTCACACCTTGGGGTGAGACAATTGTACTTGCGCATTCCTTGTTTAATCCAGTGTACGTATTCTGGAGGAAAAGTGAGTTCAGGCAAACTGCTCGAAGTATTATTCGTCCGGTTAAATGCCGTGCAGATAAGAGTGATGGTGAAAACGTAAACAATGTGGTCCATTCGTTGAGGTCTTGAAATAGTCCACATCGTGACAAGCCGTCATAGGGCATCATACAGTACTTCTCACAACGTTCGAAATGGTAATAGTAGTTGTTCTTGGTCGCGATGAAGTACAAAAACACTCATTGTGTGATGTATCAACTTTGTTGGACAATGACATAAAATAGATGATTATATACAATGGATAACTAGTGAGGGAAGGAATGTAGACACTGTAGCTAAATACTAAATAACTTTGTCGGTACCTTGGGCGTATATAGTACAACGTCTGGCGGAGAAATAAGTTTATTGGTTTATTATTAATAAATTATAACAATTTATGTTTTTTGTTAATACATATTTATTATTTATTATTAATAAGTAATAACATTATTATAAGTACTTTGGCGGTACGTATATAGTACAACGCAATATAATGGCCGTCTTACTGTGGATTTGATGGTATTCAAGAAAACGTTTCTCCACTGGGATCTTGAACGTGAACTTTAAACGAGAAAAGTAGGATCTTCTATGAGGGTCTGGGGGTCCACCCCAATGCTTTCAGCCATAGATATCTTATATACACTAGATAGCGCATCTCTTTTAGTAAAATTGAAGCCAATAATATTCCAGCGGTTACCCCCATTTGAATAGATGGCGGCCATGTTGGTCGTTCCCACTCGCTAATAAACGCTTAAAAACAACAATAACTTTCATCATTTGAATACTTTAAAAACGTATTTGGAATAGGGTTAACTTAATGTTTAAGTTCCCTGTTTAAGAAATAGAAAACATACAAATCTTCTCATTTCATGGGAACGACCTGAGACTGCAATCACAACTTCAATTTTTGAATTGCAGAATAATTAGATGCACTATCTAGTGTATATAAGATATATATGCTTTCAGCACTCTTAGGATCAATTTTTGATATATTTCATCATTCAAAGGTTTTATAATGGAAATACTAAAAGACTTTTAACTAAGTTATTCTTCCCTTTTTTGCTTATATTTTAGATATAAGGGACTCCCGTGGGGGCTGGGGGCACATGGGTAACTGGAGGGGGCAACATTGGGGACTGGGATGAGGGGGGGGGGGGTTATTGTAGCAAACGTATAGCATAAGTCGGAAAGCAATAAAAACTGAAGTGAACTGATCAGCTTCTTGAGGACATAAGAATCAATTACTTACGTGTATGCGGCAAAAAATAAATATAAAAACATTCGTCTTTTTTATAAAGGCTTTTATTTGTCATGTTTAGTACTAGGCGCAAAGAATACTAGGTATTAATGTATAAATTGTTGAGGGGATTGTAGATGGAAATTCCAATATATTTATAATACATTTCGGGAGCAAGATATAAGTGAAGCCAAGATGGCGGCCATTGACGTCCAATAGCTCTGAAGGTCGTAAACAGCTTTTATACCATTTTCCCCCAGCTACTTCCAGTTTTTTTTCTAACGGACCATATCGCTAAACAAGTTATCAGTTCATACAACCATAGTGTTATTCTTTAAATCGATGTCAAAATACGGAATTTCGGCACACTCCTTGCCACGATGGCGGAAATTGAAGGAGCTACACGACGTTAATAGATCTTTCCCCTTTTGAGTGAAATTTTGATCTAGACAAGTCTAGACAAAAATTTCACTACAGCTTGAAAGAGCATCACCAAATTAGTAATATTCCGAAGTTTCGTTGCGAAATGTTGTAAAATACGGATAATATAGCACTGCGAAGTTTGCTGTTTTTCAGTCTTTTTGTATTACAAATGGGAAATTGATACCGCTTTCTGAAAAAAGGTATCAATTTCCCGTGCGTATATATACAAAATGACTGAAAAACGGTAAACTTCGCATTGCTATATTATCTGCGTTTTACAACATTTCGCAACGAAACTTCGGAATATTACTAATTTTGTGATGCTCTTTCAAGCCGTGATAAATTTTTGTCTAGACTTGTCTAGATCAAAATTTTGGTCATTAGGTAATAGGTCCATTGCAAGGAGGAGTATTTAGAACCATAAAAAATATGCATTAGCAAAATAATAAAACAAAATAGTGTATTCACGGACTCGTATTCACGGCCTTGTATTCACTTGTTTTACTTCTTGTACACCTAATAAGTTCTTTGTAAGTTTGCATAGCGATGAAACATATGATACTTTAGTTTGTGGAAATACCACGTAAATTTATTACTGCAAAGCTTTCGATCCGTAAGTCCGGATCTTCATCAGTGCTAATAATATAATATCATAATATAGTTGTAACATATTAGCACTGATGAAGATCCGGGCTCACGGATCGAAAGCTTTGCAGTAATAAATTTACGTAGTGTTTCCACAAACTAAAGTATCATATTTTATACCTATTGCAAAGATCGTGAAGATATTAAAAATTTATATTATTTTTTCCTTTCAGATATTTTGTGTTAGCCAATCATTTCCAAGGTTGCCCCTTCAAATTGAGGATGCGTCCCGGCCTGAGTCTGAAGAGGTAAGGCATGAAAAATTAATTTTGTTACAAACCACCAGGTGATCGGACGGCGAGCAAAAGGACTGGGACTAGCAACAGAATAGAAATCCAGTTTCGTACCTTTAATCACTTGTCATGCCCTGATTCTTTTGTGAAACTGTTTGAAACTTTGGGTCTGTGTCTTGCACAGGGAAATGAATATCTGGGACAAATTTGAGATAGAAATCTAATATCGTTAATGAGATATTGAGTAATTTTAAACCAGAAATGGATTTCTATTTTACAACTAGTGCCAGGCCTTTTCCGAGTTCCAAGATCATCTGGCAAGTGTCGAAGTTTACTCTTACTCTACTACGTCACTTTGGCTGAGTTGACTATAGAGCCTCGCTTGGAAATCTTGACCTTTATCTATTGTCACATAAATTAAAAAATCCTAAGCTTTAACTATTGTCATGCACTTTCCGAACGGTGTATTTGCTTGCAAAGAATTCTTGACTGGTAAAAATAGCACAATAATTAAGTGAAATGCGACCATTGACATTGTACCTACTTTGACCGACATAAAATTTCGCAGTTTCAGGATTTCAATAATTATGAAAGACAACAATTAGGACTTAAAAAGTTCAAGAATAAAACAATTCACGTTAAAAAGTCTGTTTTTCATCGTTCCCAGTAAATAAAAGTGTAAATTGTACCCAACATGAACAATCTTTCTTTTTTTTCTTAATTGAATGTTGCATGAAAAATATAAATATACGTTCTTAACTAAAGATGGTTGCTTCAGCATCTTGAAATAATGTTGACCTATAGGTGCGCACAATTCGTGGTATCGTATCCAAGACGTGTTTCTGACTACCTCCCTACCTACCTACCATGTTGATTCAATCGTATCAATTTTTCATATTTATTATTTAGCCCGCCTCCTTGAAAAGAGAAATAAACAAACAATGGGCAAACTAGGAAACATTGTTGCGGAAACATTGTTTCCTACCCATGTTTCACCATGTTTCCCATAGTGGGCAAACACTAGGAAACATTAGTGAGAAACATAGGGAAATATCAAATGTTTCTGAAGTTGGTAGGAAACATTTTTGCTTCCCGGGAAGCAAATTTTGTTTCCGCAACAATGTTTCCACGGGTGGGCAAACATGGAAAAAATTAAAGGAAACATCGAGAATCACAAATGTTTCCGCAACAATGTTTCCTAGTTTGCCCAGGGCTTAAAGTGCATATGACATGAAATTTCTTATTTTCTTAAACGAAAGAACTCTTTAAGCTGTAGTGTAACTTATTTTTCAGTTTCTTGTTTTTATGGTTTGTTCCCGAGATATTTCAATTTGTTTGATATGTAAATGAGTTTGAATATGTCCGCTAATTTATGACGTCTGGTTATAAATCTATTAACTCTAAAAACTGTAGATATCTGTTCACGTTTTTCTACAGTGTTTCATCATATTTACCAGTGAGTGAAGTTTGAAATTATCATCTTGGATGATAGCAGTGATATTCAACCAAATTAAAGAGCTTGCAAACAAAGTGACGTCATAAATTAGCGGACATATTCACACTCATTTACATATCAAACAAATTCAAATATCTCGGGAACAAACCACAAAAACAAGAAACTGAAAAATAAGTTACACTACAGCTTAAAGAGTTAAAAAATTTAAAAAAATTCATGTCATATGCACTTTAAAGTAATGTAATGAATATGTGTTTATTAGGAATCAGGTTTGGCTACTGTTGGTCAAGATGTAAAGTTGGATCATCGATATATTGATTTGCGGGTAGGTGTATACCTTTTATGTGATCAAATATTAAATATCCACTGTCATATGACTAGATGTGTATGTCTTTATTTTTATGAAGCATTAACGACGTATTTACATTACAGACTACAACTAATCAAGCGCTATTTCGAGTCGAAGCTGGAGTTTGTCGATTCTTCCGCGATTACCTCACATCTAAAGGTTTTGTTGAAATTCACACACCAAAAATTATTTCAGGTAATTTGATTGAATCAGTGCATTCGTACAGGGTGCATAAAAAGGAAGTCCAACGCATGTTATCGTATTTAAGGGACGGACCATTAGAAAAGTGATGGGGGGGGGGGGGG